CCAACAATATCATGTGTTACTCATCATTGTATCTTCCAGAACACCTGGCTCAGAGTTTTCCAAATGTGATGGCTCAACAATATTAATTGAAGTGAATTGATTGCTCTTCACAGCAGCTCTCACTTATGGCTAAATTTCATTGCAACTAAAATGGAACATGAAGATTCAGATAAAATCAGACAGCTTTCACTTCTTTGATAGATTTGGTAATATTTGTTTCAGGGTATACACTGGGGATTGGCATATAATAAACTCAGTAAATACAATTTATCTGCAACAGACCAGAGTATTTGAATTGCATGACCACAGTGATCTCAGAAGTCAGCTCAGCAGAACTATGGTTTTATTTCTACTTATATACACTGAGGGTCCCCTAGAATAGCATCCAAAGCCTATGGTTGCAGGTTATAAAATTTTAACTCAAGCAAATTTAAGCAAAGAAAAGGGGGGAGGATTTGTTGCTTCATGTAGTGAGAAGGTCTTTGGCATGGCTGAACTCAGAGGCTCAAACACTGTCACCAAAACTGTCTCTCTCTCCCTGCATGGGCTCTACTCTCTTCTGTGCTGGCTTCATTCTCAAACTCATCCTCACTGTACTTGTACGGCATGAGCACATGCTGTAATATTATGTCTACGTCCTTTCTATTCACTACCCAAAAGGAAGACAGAGTCCTATCAAATGGAAGGCTCTGGCTGACCCTGCTGGCCCCACAGGTGCCTCCCAGCGCAGGAAGGAAGGCATCAGGATGGACAGGACCCCAAGGAGAGGTGGAAGGAGTCCCCCATAGGAAAGGATGCTGCACAGATCCATGCTGCAAGTCTACTCAACAGTTCTGGGTCTGAAATTCTAAGCTCCCCCTTTTTCCCCTTCTGGGTAAGGTAGAAAGAAAAACAGTTCAGCCAAGCTGACTTCTAAGGTGACTACAGTTATGCAATTATTATAACACACTATTTGTTGCAGAGAAATTATATTTACTGAGTCTATTATACACCAAGCACAGTGTCAGGCATTTTATAGACATTAGCTTATGTAGTTTTCACAATAGGTAGATATTATTTAAGATGAGTGTACAGAAGATTAGAGAAGTTAAACAGTAAATGTCAGAATCAAAAATGCAAACTGAAGCAGTCTGTCCTCAAAACCTTTATTTTTCTGCCAAATAACACTGAGAGTTTTGAAGCTCTTTTGAGTTTATTTATTGTGGATATCAGAAATTTGTAGATGAAGCTCAAAGACCTACATGTTAATTATGGCCAGAAGTAAACAGAAGGCAATTATCTATAGCAAGTGATCTATCAGATATCCTGAAATAGTTTTATTAATACTAGCCTTAGCCTAATGTCTGAAATTCTGCCATTAGAGAGTATTTGGGGCTTAGACATCACTGCTGCTTAATTTACTATTTTACTACAAATACTTCCCAAGAGCACTTAGGATAATTTGGCCTTATTAAAATGCAAATACCCCAGAAAGGAATAACAGATATGAACTTTCTTTTATTAGCCAAAACCTTTGTGGATATCAGATTCTCTGCTCCTTTTTTCATGGCCCCAGGAAAGAAGACACAAGGTCAGGTCCTGTCCCATTGCTGAGGGACAGGTCATCATCTAAGCAGAGTTCTCACAGCATCCAATGGCCACACTAGGGGCTGGGGACAATTCTACACCCTTGGTGCACCTAATGAAAATCACTCAACATTTGATAGTAGAATCCAAGCAAATTCTAAAAGGGTTTGGTAACAACAAGAAAAGGAAATACAGTTACCATGTAGCCTGTGAATAAACAGAAGGAATTGGGGTACTAAGATAAGAATAATAACTGTTAGCACTTGCTCTAATGTTCCTATACATGATTTTAGAAACATATACCGCCTAAGTATACATTATTTAATAAGGGAAAAATCTAATCGTTCGTGACCATGGCTAAGTGTTTTACATTGTACAACATTCCTGCTGCCACCCCAATATTACCCACAGAGATCTTGTGCAAAATGTAGTTTCAGGTTACACACAGCACCTCTGGCTTCCCTGCTTCAGAAAGGGGGGGGGGGTAGCAGGTACTGAGCTGCCTGGCAATCCCAGCCTCCTGCCAGCTCTCAGCCCCGTAACAGCCCTGGAGGATTGTAACTGAGAAACCCCCCACGCTTCTGCCTTTCAGCAACTTCCTCTCTCTTAAATGGAACAGTTGGGGAGCATCTATTTTCTAACAGTTGCATTTCATAAGTGGTTTGAAAAGTAATCCTGGCATAGTACCTGGCACATAGCACTGAATAAATTAAGAAGAAGAGGAAGAGGAGGAGGGAGAAGAAGAGTTGGAGGAGGAAGAAAAAGAATTACATTATATCTATATCTCTCATTCTTTTATTCCCTAGTCTCTTAGCTCCAAGAGACAAATTGGGGGAAAATGAATAAACTTTCAAAATCATAGTAGTTCGACCCCCACTTCTTAAATGTGAGTGAGGCCCTGAGAGATCAGCAGCCTGCACAGAGGCAGATAGAACATAGTAGCAGAGCTGGGTTTCTCACCCAGTTCTCACTCAGTCCTGTGCTGTCTACAGTAAGAACTGCACGCCAAGCAATGGGCCCATATGTTTTCAACGGGCAGCAGCACTGTGCTATGCTGTGTCCTCCATGCAAAATGCATTTCTACTGGCAAGGAAAGACAATAAATGTCACTGTCCACTGAGGGGAGGTTTCCTATCCACAGTCCCGGGGGGCCAGGCTTTACAGTCTATGTGAGAATCTATCAAAATGTTTCTCTGGTACATTCAGTAACCAAAGCTCTTCATGGCTTCCAGTCGTTCCATGTCCTGCCCTCTGATAGGCTTATTTATAATGAAATTCTCTCACATTTCTATCAGGAAATGTGTATCGTTCTCCTTATTGACAAGCATTTAGAATATGCCTCCTCTGGGTTAGAATATTATGTGAGGGTCTGGTGCTAGTAAGAGATGTACAATACATATTCTGAATATGGGGAGCTTGAATGCATGTGGTAAGATAGAGAAAACACATGAAAGATAACCATGAAGTCAGCGTATCTTCAGTGCAAACAGGAAGGGAAAGGTATAAGGCTACAAGATTTCTAGGAAGCCTTCTGGAGAATTAGAAAATCAAAATACAGATTTTGATTATAACTTAATCACCCTGTGTATAACTTAATCACCACCATTGTAATTAAGGTTCAAAAATGTAAGTATTCACCAGACATGAAGTCCACACTGCACACCTCAATTTATCTATTAATGTAATACCATCAGACTCCAAATCATCAGAAATTATCTTGAGATTTGATTCATATTTATGAAATGAGTACTATAAATGGTCCTGGTAATTCATCCCACACAAAAAGACTATATTAAAACATTTCATGTATAAAATTAAAATGGGTGTTGTGTTAAAATACATACTTATTCTAATATTTCACTTTTAGCATCACAAAATATCAAGAGTAGGAAGTAACCGAGTTGTCAGTGCATCCATTCATGAGCAGGTCCATTCTCCCTTACCACCTCCCTAAGAGTGTTTCCCATCCTATGCCTGAATATTTCCAGTGACAGGGGACTGACTACCTCGTGATGCAGTTCAGTTCATCTTTGGACACTCACCTATTTCATTCTACATAAAAGCAATATACTTCAAAATGGAAAAAATTGCAAGAGGAAAAGGGCAAGTACAATGTTTTCTAATTAGTTAGAGATGTGTCCATTTAGTTACTAAGTTTTCCTTTGAGGTTTACTTAATGAGATAAACAGTATTGCCTGTGCAATGACATTTCTGTTCATGAACATTCCTTTCAGGCAGCTCGCTATGAGAAATTAAGTCATTCAAAGAAAACAAGTCATTCAAAGAAAACAAGAAAATAAGCATTCAGCAAAAATGACATTAGAGAACATCTACATATTTGTTAACATTAAAATTACTATAGATATTATAGGGTTAAGAATGTTCCTGTGGAGCAATAGAAAGAGCTTAATCTTATAAGAAACATGCACTTAATATCAGTCAGTATAGTTTACTTATTAGCTGTGCTGGGATTCAAACAAAAAGGGCCTAGCTGTTTTTTGACATATTAACTGATAAATCATGATGAGCTCTGCTGTACTTGACTGTTTACTCCATTATTTGAGATTTCCAGCAATCCCACTACTGAGTATTTATCCACAGGGAAGGAAATCAGTACATCAAAGAGGATACTTGCACCCCCACATTTATTGTAAGCACTATTTACAATAGCCAAGGTATGGAATCAACCCTAAGTGCCCATCTATGGATAAATGGGTAAAGAAAATGTGGTATATATACACAGTGGAATACTATTCAGCCACAGAAAGGGATGAAATCCTGTCATTTGTGACAACATGGATGAAACCAGAGGTTATTATGTTAAGTGAAATGATCCAGGCACACAGAAACAAACCTTGCATGCTCTTGCTCATATGTGGGAACTAAGTGGATCTCATGGACATAGAGAGTAGACTGGTGGTCACCAGGAGCTGGGAAGTGGGAGGTAAGGAGGGTAGAGAAAGGTTGCATAATGGGTAAAAATATACAGTTAGATAGAAGAAACAAGTTCTAGTGTTCAATAGCATAGTAGGGTTACTATAGCTAACAACTTATTGCATATCTCAAAATAGCTAGAGGAGAAGAGTTGAAATCCCCAAAGAACATGATAAATGTTTGAGGTGATGGATATCCTAAATATTCTGATTTGATCATTACACACTGAATGCATGTATATATCACAAATGTGTACAATTATTATGTATCAATGCATAAATGCAGAATGCATAAAAAAATTTCTGGCTATGCTTATAGTTAACCTTCCACACAAACTTAGGCCCCTACACAACTAGTTGATTAAAAAATCATTTTGTTATCAATAGATTAAAATAGTAGCACTAATAAATCAATTAAATTGAATTCTATCACCACCACCAAGGGCGCAAAAGCAGGATAAAATAGCAGCAGGGGGAGAAAGAGGGTCACTTGATTCTTACCACTTGGCCAACTGGGTACATCCTTGCTGTATCTCTGTAGCACTGCAGAGGACGAGCTTTCCAACTCACCTGTGTTTTGAGAACACCCACAAATTTAAACTTTCACCAAAAAGTCATCAAATTTTCCATAATTTGAGCTGCCCTCAGGAGGAACATTCTAGGGCCATTGCCCTTTATAGTAGAATTAGAAGGGTGTGGGTATTCACATTTTTGTGCTCTGGCCTTAGTAGGTGCTCATAAAGTATATAGCTCAGAACAAGCTAACAAGACTACTAGGTGGAGACACAATGATGACTAAGAACCAGCAAGTTTATTGTACAATCCAGCAGCAAGATCAGAAAAATGTTGGGTCCTCCGAAATGTCTATCATGGATTCTTTCACATGTTATCAGCACAACTTATGGACTGGATACCTACAGCTAGTGCTAATTTCTATGTGGCTGGGCAATGAATTCTCTGCCACTATTTTACGCTCCCTTTATAAGTACTGTGAGGCATGTATCACCAGCAGAACAGCAGTGCCTGGCACAGAAGCTTCTCTTTAGACCATCCTTGTAGCAGGGACATTAAACAGAATCAGGAAACGGCTCTATAATGTGCATGTATGTGCACAAGGGGTGTGTGGATGGAATGAAAAGCAGATTAGGAGGAGAAAAAGAATGAAATAACAACAGATGAAAGAAGAATGAATGATGGGGAGAAAATGGGGAATACCAGGGACCAGCAGCAGTGAATGAGGGGAGGGGCGTGAATGCATTTATTCTAAACACAATTTGCATCTCCAGACTAGAACTTGGCTTTGGACACAGTATCCTGTCTTCATTTTTTTTTTTTTTTTGAAAGCTTGGAATTTTGGAAATTGAACCCAAAAAGCTGTATACATCACACCCCATAAATCAATATTAGGAAGCGTTGTATATAAAACACAAGACTTTGTGATCCAACAGCCCTGGATACGAAAGACAGAAAAGAGCAAATTCCTCCCTGAGTTGACATCTTCAGATAAAGCCACAAGGCAGCTTACACACGGGCAAGAAGAGAAACGGAACAGGAGAGCAAGTGCTCCAAGGGAAAACTGTGTGAGCAGTGGCTTAGGAAGTGGAGAAGAAGGAAAAGATTCACTACCCCTAGATCTGCTTGTGCCAAGGTTTTTCAGATAGGAATGTTCCCCAAGAAATGAATCAATCAACAAAAAATCTTCAGGAACTACAAATGAATCATTCTGACAAATAAGCTGACAAGTCTCAGGCTGCCAAATGAATGCCAGTGCTCTTTGTTAGAAAGTGAACAATTTTGTTGTAAGGTCATCTCAGGTTGTAAGATCAAGATTGTTACATACTGTAGAGTATCATTTCACAAATAAAATCTAGAGCATAGTTTGTTGGTTCTTGTTAATCAAATGCTCCCAAGTCTCCAATCCTTGGAGACTCCAGCATTTATTCCAAAGCATTCCCAAAAGATTGCTTGTAAAAACTGACTTATTTCCCGAGGGAATAGGTATAGGATATGTATTAATTTTTTTAAACTGTCCCTGGATAGTTTCCTGAGGAAACTAGTAGAGGGAAATATAAACCAGATGTGGATCTTAAGAGTATCTGAACCAGGTATCATGAAATTCTGTGGACCTATTTAAATTATAATCAAGTGCTGATGTGAAAGAAATGTGGCTGCAAATTTAGTAACTATGACTGGGAATGTTTTATTAAAAAGTAAGTAAAAATTCCATATTTCAGGGCAATGAGTGTAAGACAAACTCTATCCAGCACACTAATTAAAATGCCAGTATGCTATTTAAGCAAAGCTAAAATGTAAGGGGATGCATAAAAGCTGGTGAGGAAAAAATCTCAAAGCAAATGTCACCAACTTTAACTTCTCTTTTCTGGGCCATAAGCAGATGTGAAATTTCCCTGGTATTTGTTTAAAAATATTCAATGAGGTTTCTGCTGGAAGCAAAGCAGCATCTCTTATTTGGAGTGGTCTTCTACTTCCCTTCCGGGAAGAACAAAGCAGAAGACACATGAAAATATTTGCAAGTGTATAAATACACATCATTTAAGAATAAGCTTATCCTCTCTGTTATTATTGAGCATATTTTTTCTAGAAATATGCCAGTTTCAGGAAAGAAATATAAAGTCTGGCTTGTACAATATAGCAAATTGAATGTAGTGATTTAAAAAAACTCAAAACTAAACTCTGACTTTAGCTTATCTGATAAAAATGAGATATAAGAATACCAACAGAAGAAAATCAGAAATTTTTCACTATTTTGTATTTTTAACATAGCCTATCTATTAAGTTACTGTACTGTCACAGTTAATTTATAGCTACACCTCTACCAGTCCCTTTAAGAAATGCACATTAAAAATCACAGCTGATTAGTCTGCTATTTTTTCCATAAGAAAAAACAAAACTATCTCTAGGAGACAACCACACAAAATAGTCCAGCACTTAGGATTCTGCACAGTACAAATCTCACTTACTGATTTTTTCCTCATCTCTTGAGAAAGGGAAGCAGCAAAGCTGGCCCATGGCACTGGTACTGTCTGTCTTTCCTGGTGTTCCTCTCCGAGAGCACCCCAAATAGAAACTGCAGTTTATAGCACGGTCTGCGAGCACACCCTGCCTATTGCACTCCACGGAGCAGCACACAAGCTTGAAGAGCCAATGCACACGCCTCCAGGGGAGAGAGAGAAGCTACTCGCTGCGGTGAGCAAAAAAGGCTCCACCTCCAGTCCTCCAGCCTAACGCAACTGCTCTGGGACTGGCATTCAGTGAAAGAAGTGGCCGTACATTGGCCTAATTCTCACAAAACCATGAGCCCCCGGTCTCAGATCAGTGCCACGTGCACTTTACAGCTATCTGTGGGTGTCTTTAAGGAAGATAACCGAGAAAAATCATGAGTCCTTTCTCCTGCAGACAAATGCAGTAATTACACATGGAAATTCACACCAGAAAAACCCCTTATTTTCTGTCTGCTATTTAAAGAGGAAGAGCTTTCTTTTATCCCTGGGAGATCGTTGTGTTGTTTGTTTGCTATATGAATAGGGAACCCAACATAGCAGAACACTGAAAACAACTTGTATGAAGCATAATTAACTACCTAACAAACTGTATGAATAATAGAAACGACAGGAAAGTGGGAGGAAAGTGACTATCAAGTGTTAACTGCACATGATAGCATATCTTTTAAAGTCAAATACCTGCTTTCTGAAATTGCCTTATGCCTCTAACACAGTAATCAATACTATGAATTTTGAAATTGTTGCATCAATTATGTCAATGGCCTAGAAAATTACCCACACACAGATGCATCACTGGGAAAAAGATCAAGGATTAGGGTGTCTTTTTGTATGAAGCCACAAGGTGATTGAACAAATTCAGGGGCTACAAACAACTAATTTTAAGACACGCTATATCTTGTACTTTATGACATGAAATAACGGATTTCATGTAATTGTTCAAAATCTGTTATCTTGCAGAGGTAAGAGACTTACTTTGTGACACTATAGGAATGAAAAATTCTCTTAATGCCAGAAATTCCATACAAATTCTTACTGTACTTTCTAGCTAGGCACACACACCTATTTACCAGGAGTTGGAAGGATAAAGGATGATGCTGAGAACCTCAAGTGGTTCTGAACATACTACGTCCACTTTCACACTCATCCAAACAAAAAGAATGTACAGTTTGGAAGAATGAAAGTTGTCAATTTTACAAATTCTGTATGTTGCATTTTTAATCTCATTAAGAAGTTGAAAAGCACTAGAATATACTTCCCATGCTTTTTTTCAGAAACAATTTTGATAATTACAGTTTGATACAATTATCAAGGAGTATTTTAGAGTTATCAAGCAATGTAAATTGTTTCTGTGGATCACAGGTACATTAATATGCACTCTGATTTCCCAAGATTAGAAATATTGTGAAGATCTATGTAATAAAAAGCAAAGCTTTGATTGATTAAATGAAACTGGCAGGGCTATCTGCATAGTTAAAATTAACATTTGAAATGCTACATAACTTAAATATTGCTTTCAGTTTTTCAGACTATTGAAAATGTAAATACAATGCATACTTAGCCTTGATTTAAAGAGCACACTCCATTCTATCATATAATTGGCATAAAATTTTAAGTGAAATTCCATTTTTATAACCAGTTTTATTTCTTCACAGCTTATCAGCCTGTAAATTAACAGTAAGTTGTTCCAATATTCCCTGTCAAATTCACCAACACGTAAATATAAAATATAATTTTGTATGTAAAATAGTCCTAAAAGCAATAATATGAACCTATTAATACTAGAAAGCAAATAAATGGCCTATAGCCCTAAAAAAGGTAAAATCAGAACTGAGAGTGTACTTTGAACATTGGAGACATGACACAGCATGGGGCCCTTCCTGCCCTTAATATTGCTACTAACCAGCTGAGAAACACCAGACAAGTCCTTGGTCCTCCCTGGGCCTCAGTTTCTTCATCTAAAAATAAGGCAGCTGAAATATTAAGATCTTCTACAGTGCTAAAATTATATGATTTTGTGATCAAAAGAACAAAGGAAATAGTCTGACAACCAGTGAACAATTATCCTAAACATTACTTTTTGTGTTAAAAGAAAAATATGCAGTGAACATTCTTCACTGAGGAAAATGAGCAACTCCTGGCATTTCCCAATCACACCAGCATTGGTGTACTGATAAAACCTTTACAATCAGAAAAATCAAGGGTTTGAATCCCAGATCTCTCAGGAATTTACAGTTATGAAACCTGGACCTCTTTGTCAGAGTTTTCATATCTTCACTTGTAAATCAGGTAATTCATTATAAAGTCTATAATTTGTTACTGCAAAGTAGATCGTATTTGGGAGGAGAGGAAGAAGAGAACAGATTGCCATGACAGCATCTATATGCACCCCAGTGTTCTTAGCACCAAGTGGCAATCTTGCCACCGTGTCTTCCAAGTCTGTGCCCTGCTAGCTGCCATCTTGAGTTAATATTTATGCATCTACCTATAAATGAAAAGGCCCCACACTAGAACGCAGAGCCCAGGAGGATAACATTCTTGTGATGAACCTTACCAACTTAACTTTATTATTCCCTGTTGGCACTGCTTCTGAAAATGTGCAATTAAGAATAAAATATAGACCAGGTACAGTGGCCCTCCCTCCTGTAATCCCAGCACTCTGAGAGGCCAAGGCAGGAGGAGCACTTGAGGTCAGGAGTTCAAGACTAGCCTGAGCAAGAGTGATCCTGTCTCTACAAAAAATAGAAATATTAGCCAGGTGTGGTGGTATGGGCCTGTAGTCCGGGCTACTCAGGAGGCTGAGGCAGGAGGATTGCTTGAGCCTAGGAGTTGGAGATTTCAGTGAGCTATGACCATGCCCCTGCACTCTAGCCTGGGTAACAGAGTGAGAGACTCTGTCTCAAAAAGAATATATAAAATATGTCATTGTCTAAGTAACAGCATTTATCAGGATATTCTGCAACTAAGAGGGAACTATATACTTATACAATGTTAGAGACTTTTTCATAAGTATTAAAAGTGAATCATAATAAAAGATTAGAAAACAATGGAGAAATTCAAGATAGGAATTTAAAAACCTAACATTTACTGGACATTTACTATATGCCAGGCACTTGGTAAGTGCCTTACATTTTACTCTCACTGAATCCCTACAACAGCTCTAATGAGGACAGTGCTATTACTATCCCCACTTTAGAGATGAAAAAACTTAAGCTCAGAAAAGTAATTTGGGCAAAATCTCTGAGTATGTGACAATAATGGGATCTGAACTCAGTTTGTCTGACTCTACAAACCCTAAGCATCTGATCCAGAGTCCTGTATTATTAATCACAGCCTACTACAATTTCAGAATAATGTACAGAAGAATTTAACTAAGCTCTATGGTAGTATGTTTAAAATCTTGCCTTGGTTTCTCCTGTGTTGCCACCAAATTCCTTTATTGTTGCTAGAGTGATATAATCCTGGTTTTAAACAAAGAACCTAAAGACAGAGCTCTCTGGGAGCCAGAGCCCAGCACTGTCGCCTGCCACACGATGGAGGGACAACTCAGTGTGCAGCACAAAGATACCAGAACAGCCCCTGAATGCAAACGTCTTCCAGGAAAAACAGCAACTGCTACCATTCATAAACAATCCCCAAGGATGTTAATGGACTTTCATTAGGGGATTAACATTTTTCAGTAATATATGGAGGTCTACTGTGACTAGAAGATGATTTATAAAAGAGGAAGGTTAACCTTCATGAGGAAAAATATCTGATATCATGTCCATAAATTTAGAACCACAACTGTTTTGTGTTTTCTTTTCTCACAGCCTGGCTGCAGACAAATCATAGTGAGGTTAATTGCCTGTATCGGTTATAGTCTTTTGGATTTTTATTTTAATGTTTAAAAATGGCAGGAATAAAACTAAAAAGTATTTGGGGGGGGGGAGGCAGCTGCTACTGTGAATTATCAGCTCTGATTATTGTCTCTAGTGGGAAAAGATAATTCTTAACTATGCCCCAAAATTCTATTCCTGTGCCATTGGTTGGCATCTTTTTCTATCTATAACTGAACACATACATATATTTTTAGATTTCTGAGCAACCTCTCTCAGAAAAGTCTGACTCAAAGAGCAAACCTCACTGTAAGATTCTGACTTTAGAAAACTGTACAAATTTTCAAAAATTCAAAAAAAATTAGCAATCATAATGCAAGAAAACAAAAGACCTGTACAAATTACCAATTCTTCCGAGACCTCCAATGCATTAATTAAAGGAAATTTGAGTTTGACAACTTTTGGAAACACATGAGAAAATAAAAAGTAAATGTCCCTTTATTGAAAAGAGTGGAGAGAAAAAGGAGGACATTAAATCATGAAGTATAAAGAGGGAAAAACTGTTTTATCCCTCCAAATTCAGGAACCAAGCCTTGAAAGAAATGCTTTTAAGCATAAAATAGACACTTCAGGAAGATTTCATTATACAGCAGGTAGCACACGTATGGAAACTGCTATTCCAAGAAATGTCAGTTTCAATGAAAATGTACGTAAGTTCAAGAAGTGCTTGACAACCTGTGGAAATGTAACTCATGCAAACTGGAATGTTTTGGAATATATTCCAATTTTTATGTTGATGGCAGGTGCCAAAAGATAATTATTCTGGGCCTAAAGGAGAGTGGATGGATATACTCAATATTGTGCTTTATTTCTCTATGTTCTTGTACAAAAAATATGACTCTCAATTATTAACCCATAACAAGCATAAATCTACCACTAGGCCCAGAAGATGCTCCTCCATTGTGCGGCCACTGCTGCATCTTGGTGGTGATTTTGTAACCAAAGAGAAAGGTTCTGAAACTGTATCACTAAATACTGGTATTTGAAAGTGGCTCTTATGAGGGGTTGTCTGTAAGGGGAAGAGGCTGAAAACCATAACTGATAACTTGAGGGACTACCTATGAATCTCACTGCTAAGTCCTATTTTTATTTACCCAGGAAAAGAATTTCAGTTTAAAATTTGAGAGCCAAGAATCCTTTTTTAAAACTGTTACTCCTACTTGAGCTATACTTTCAAGAGACTTTTTACTTCTCTTTGCAGTGCTTTTGTTTTTCTCTAAAACTAAAAGTTATAGGTATTTGTATTTGAAATTGCCATATATTATACAATTTTGGTATGTATAGTAATTGGAAAGAGAATGTGGTTTTTTTTCTATAAAACACAAGGAGAAAAACATAACATACCATACACAGCATATATGCATTTAGGAAAGGAGAAGAAACAAGTAGACAACTAGAGCCACAAAAGAAGTCCTTATTCTTCACCAATCACAGCAGGCTTTCCGAAATCTCTGCTGGTGCATTTCTGCTTAGTGCCAACTTTCAAATTGTCTCCCCCATGCTTACTATTCAGTCACAGTTCTTTTCTATGTGTGGCCCAACTTTAAACAATGTATGTAGTCAAAGCCTTTTCCTTAATTGAGAAATTAGGAGAATTTATTTCCCTGCTCAAAGGACAGGCAGCAGCAGAGCAACAGAGGTGTAGGAGGCTGGAAGAAGGGCTTACGACTTATAGCATATTAGTTGGATGCTTTGCATTTATAGCACACCATGTTATCCAATTAATTCTGGCCACTATTTATTGAACACATATCATGTGCTAACATGGTAATCACATAAGTTCTTGGGGTGAGGGTTAACTCTTACGTCGAGAAGTGCAGCCACAGTAGGTGAGGGAGCCAGGGCCAAAGGACAGGCACCTCTCTATGCAGTCACGGCCCTGGGGGAGCAGGAGGTAGCTCCGGATTCCCATCCTGGTAAGTCCCAGTAACAAACAGTTATTCTACATAGATACTGCTCAGCCCTGCTTTTTACAGTCTGACCTTCTTTCCAGGCATTAATGGAATCACAGAAACTGACATGAGTTACTTAGTCAAGGGCAAGTTAAATGTTTGGACATCAAAACCTTGTTTGAGGAAAGAAAGAGGAAAGGCAAAAAATATACTTAATCTTCTGGCTAGTATTTGTATTATAACACATGGCTGCTTGCTTATTCAAACACCTTTAATCCTGTATTGCCTTGGACCTTTTGGAGGAGAAAGCAACACCCTTCATAAGAAGAAAAGAAACGTATTTCAGAAATGCCAATAGGACTCAGTGAGCAGATTTTATTTGTGGTTTCACAATGTAAACAACACAAAATTGGGTTCTACAATTTCTTTCACAGGTCCTAATTGTTCTTTATGTGGAATGCTCTCAATCTATATTTCTCTCCAAAGGTGGTCCACTGTTTGACCTTGGGCAAGACAACTGTTATATTTCCTATATGTCAAGCTTCAAATAAAAGGGGCTTACTAAGTCAACATATGATTATTAAAGATTTTTTCTCTAATATCATCCTTAAAATCAGGATGGAAGTGAATCCCCAAGATAATGAAAATTCCTTTGTCCTAATGAAATGCAAGGCTGTTTTTGGCAGTTCTCAGTATCTCTCATGATCCGCATGGCCCAGGCTGACATTCATCTGAGACACTATGTCGGTATTCATTCTATTCGTCTGTTTATGGACGCCTCTATTAATAACAACATGCAGTGTCAGAATTGTTGTTTAAATATCCATAAAACTAAAACACTAGTCTGTCTTCCGTTAATACATTTATTAAATCAAACTGAAATGTATATCTGGTAGGATGCATCTGCTACAAATACGAAAACTCCTAATTCAAATGGTTAAAAAGGAATGTCATTATCTCCTATAATCTGTGATAGTGTCACACTCGAGCTGGGTAATTCAGTGGCTTAACAAGATCATCAAGACTCCCCTTTCTAGTGCCCCACACTCAGCAAAGGTGCCTGTAGTCACCTCTAGTGTCCTCTGCAGTTAAGAAGACAGCAAAGTCCAGGCATCACATGGTGGATACCCAACAATTTCCAGCTAAAAAATGGTATTCACTTCCCTCCAAATCCTTTTTCTATCAGCAAGAAAACTATGCTCTGAGGCCCCGAGCAGGTTTCCCTCACATATCAGAATCAGACCACATGCCACCCCCTGAACTAATCACTAGCAAGAAGAATGGAGCAATCATCTGCAGCGCCAAAGCCAAGCCCACCACATCCCAGTGGGAGGGGAAAAGGTGGGAAAGAGGGTGGACCCAGACTAGGCAAACCACCAGTGTCTGCTAGACTTTTATATTTACCTTTTAATAAAAATGTGGTATCTACTTTTTGATTAATTAAAATCAAGAAAGCGATTGAAAGAGTCTGTAAGTAATTTTATATAGCAAAAATAAATTTTTTTACTAAAAAGTAAACTGAAAAAAAGTGTGATGCTAATAAAACATTCTATCATATACTGATCCTTATAAACTACATTCTTGCTAAAATACATGGCTGAAGAACAAGTAGCAAAACTATGAACTGCCTTTCTCTAAACCTTATTATGCTAAGACTGAATGCTTAAGTAAAAGCTCTTGCTTTGATCAGAGATATTAGCAATGAAAATATATCTGGCAGCTATGGTTCGTTGGTATGAAATATAAAACTCTGATGGTCAAATACAGCCCTCCTTTACCCATAGCCAGAAACAAGACAAAATACTCACCTGAATCATTAGTCAATAAAAGATCAAATAGAATCACAATTCATAATCTGACAAACTGTTGTTCTTACTCCTTGAGGCATTTTATATAAAACACATTAAAGTCAGATAAAATATAATAGAATCTTCATGGGGTTAATG